AACCTTACCAGGACATGTATACTAAAAATGTATGGATGGATTCATTATCAGTTGAGACATTACACAAAGATACATTGAACTAATATTTAAACAACTTCTTCAGCTTTAATTTGCTGTGGTCAGTGATCAGAGATTTGTTGATCATTAAATGTCACTGGACAAAACATTGAGATACAAATTGAGTACAGTGTTATATAAGATATTGGAATTTAAATTATGCATTGTCTCTTAAGTTAACATACAGTAATTGCTGTTTGTGGATTCTGAGAATAACAAAAGGCATTCTTTCCTCAAGGTAAATGGACTGTCTGCCTTTCTGATTGCTTGCATAGAAATTTAGCAAATGTTATCGATTTGAGAGTACTCAGTAACTGTCTAATTGAGGAGAAAATTGCTGTCAAGCCTGTGAGGCCTGCATGGCTATTGTACTGAGTACTGTGTAATGAAATGTTAATGAAGACTGCATAGAGATGCTCAAGCAAGATTATAATGACATAATTTAGTTGTGATTAAGTTGTGAATAAGGTGTGACGAAAGCACGACAATTAAAAATAAAAACAGAGTTCTGTGATTATAGGATACATAGGTGATAGTTCTTTGAGTAGCTCCTCAGAGGTACAGCAGATCACAATTATCCCAGTGATCAAGTTCTGACTGTCATTGGCTGAAGCAGTGTGGAAATGTTTTAGGGTTATAATGTCTACATCCTACCAAGCCCCAGGCAATCTGGACTAGGAATGGGGAATTTTGGAGACCTCCAGTTATTATTTGAAGTCTTAACTTCTTAATTGAACTAATTAATTACATATGTTGTTAATTTACTGTATCTTTTAAGCATCCCAACCAGGTGTTAATATAAAAAATAAGCATAAAACCTGCAGGACACCACTGAAGCCTGAGGTTGTCCCTCCTTGATCTGAATGCGGGTTGCATTGTGGTGTGGACCAGTTGAACAGACTTGGGACCAGTGCTCAAGAAGAACAAACAAAAGCAGAAGGCAGTGCAGGCCCATAAGAATAAAATGACATTTCTGCCACAGTAATTCTGTAATTTTTCTGAGTACAAGACACTAATTCAATAAAAGGTTAAGTATATCTCTGTCAAGGAGAGGTGGAACAGTTCCACTTCATCATATTGATTAACATCAAAATTAAAACTGGCAATCATCACCACCGCTTCCAAATTATACTATAGTAATAAACAATTGACTAATCCTGGCTCCAAACAGTCCTGCTGCCACAGAACTGTAAACTACAAATGAGGAAACTGCCACCTGCAATTTAACATCCAACAATTTGAAGCAAAAGAGAATGGTGTAAATTTTGTGTTTTGAGAATTACACACAGTACAAAATTAATTTGAGAGTGGATTGTTTATTGCAAAAGAAAATAAAATTCGAATAACTACTATTCTCTTTATGGGAGTATGAAACATTTTGATAGTATCTTCTTTGATCAAAGGCAATGATTTCAGATTCTAAGGTTGCTGCTGGAAGATGTGTTAGTGGGACCAGGAGAGGGGGCTCACCCTGCGGTCTGTCTAGGTCCTAATACCCCACTACAGTGAGATGGACACTATATGTTAAAAAGGCGCATTCCTTGGGATGAGATGTAAAACCGAGGTCCTGCCTCTCTCTGGTCACTAAAAATCCCAGGGTGTTTCTTAAAAAGAGTAGGGGTGTAACCCCTGGCCAAATTTACCCCTGGCCGTTATCAATCATGGTCTTCTAATAATGCCCACCTATGAATGGGCTTCATCACAGTGTTCTCCTCCCCACTGATGGCACATGTGTGGTGAGCGGACTGGCGCATTATGGCTGTTGTCATACATCATCCAGGTTACCACTTTTACGTACCACGTTGGTGCTAAAGCGCTTTGAGTGGAGTGGACAGAAAAGCGCTGTATAAGTGTAAGGAAATATTATTATTAGGTGCTTTGGTTAAATTCCCACAGTGTGATTATAGCACTGGAGGAATGAGATAGTTTGTAGACAAAAGGGATTGCTAGTTTTTCATGTAATGCAATACAATTATTTATTTCTACAATTTATGATGGTACAAATTCAAGGTACCCAGGACATCAAAATGTAAAGGAGATGTTTACCATGATGAAGGTAATATTATATCACAATCTGCTTTAGGTGCGTGTGGACTCATGTGAATCAATCCTTCCACTACACATCATGATTGTCTCACTAATAACACTTCCTAAAAAGGTCTGCAATCTGCCATTTATAGTTATACAAACTTGCCTAAGTAATGAGTTCCAATAACTCACTGGGGTACTGCACCTTTGATGTTGCATCTGCATTTTCTCCTTGTGTCCGTTTGGATGTGGGTGCTCCAGTTTGCAGTTTGATTGTGTGTATACTGTACAGTATATGCCCTGCAATAAACTGATGTCTCTTGCAGACTGTAGTCACAGTCTGTGCCCTGTGCTCTCAGGATTGACTGCAACCCTCACCATTAATAAGCGCCTTTATCATAATAGACTGGATAGATAATTACAGTACCTTACAAGACCCTAGGCTTATTACATGTAACAACTTGGGACTATGATCTCGTTATGTCTATCGATATTATCTTGTATGATCATGTGGGAGAATGTTTCTGTGAGCTTCAGTAATTCAGTTCAATTCTTTAAAAAAAATAATTAGAACAAATCTTAGACAATTAACCACACAAAAGACTAAAAAATGGGACTTGTGCCTAACCCAAAGGGTATACCACAAGATCATTTTGAAAATAGAAAAAAAAAAGCACACTCCGGCTACTGAGCCTGACAACTCACCCAGGAACAGGCTCAACAGTCAAAACATTGTATTTTTTTTGTATGGTGAAATGTATAAATCAGAATTGTGAAGAATCTGGGCATGTGTTATACTGTATAAATTATAATGGCATACTGGATAATTTTATTGTTTGGAGTACAAATGAGCGTGGTGATTTCCTTTAAAGATTGTACAGTAAGTGAATAACACTATATTGTGACTTTTTTTAAAAATACATGACTATCCCTTTGTTTTGATGTCAGACTTACTGCAGGCCTAAGATTCCTGGGTATGTTACTTATTCACAACTGTAAACTAGGAAAACGTTTTCTCCTTTGATCCTTCAAGTTATCTCACCTGTGTGACAAGTTTCCACTTCAATCACCTATCGTGCTTAAGCAATTTCATGCCACTGCAGTTACAACATTTTGGTCTAAGGTTGATCTGTAGTGCATTGATGAATAAAACATAATGGTGAGCTCTCTAACCTTATTTTAGTATGTCAATAGCTAATGCCTGCTGACACATAAAACAGAGTTTCTCTAAGGGTCTCATGTCATATTAGAATAGATCTGAGTTACACATCTTGCCAAACCGTTAAGAGATAATTTCAGAGCAAGTACTTTTTCAGCAAATTATTAATGATAAAAAGACACAGTGATAAATAACAATGAAAGTACAGTATATGTGACATGCTTTGTTAGTAACCAAAGTAAACAGCAGAGGTTTAGACTAGTAACTGTCAAAGAAAAGGATTGGTTGCCCCCTAAAGGAACATATGTAAATTGCTTGAGTGCTGATGTTTACTGATGTATCTGAGCAAAGCAGACAACAGACAAAACTATTCATATATATTGATCAATTTCTAGACTTGTTTCTAGGATTACATATTATTTTTACATAAAGAGCCTAGACTTTGAGCAACACTAAATTAAGGCTGCTTTAAGGAGTGTATAATGTAAATCATTGGTGAAGTTGTAAATAACAAGCATTTTATTTTCAAAATCAGTTTCAGTACGTCACTCTGTTTTTGAGGTATGGAATGTACATTGGCAACATAAATCATGAATGGAAAAAGGGGAAAAATTCTCCCTTGTTGAAACTTATAAAAGTTAGGCTCCATTATACCACAACATATAAACCCAAATGTATAACTTCTGTGTATTGAAAATGGAGTAACCTTTACTGTTTTAGTAATGAGAGAAAGGCATGAGTGGAGAACATCTGCACTTGGCTACCTGCTGTCTGGACTATGGGTTTTCTGGTGGATAAGCAGAGAGAGTGCTGGTTTCCCATGATCGTGATTTGTTAATTGTGCAGCTGGAATCAAGGGGATCACTGAGAATAGGTGGGGTTGGGAGGTACAAAGAGCAATTGAGAACCCCTCTGTTGTACTACTTACCACATCATTTTTCTTTGTTTCTTTGGCTGCCCTTCCATTGCAAGGGCCTAAAATATTTTGACAGAGGACAGCTTCTAGTAGGTGAGTATTCTAGTCAAAACCATGTACCTGTGGGAAATATCCATATTGAACATTATCATGGTGAGCATTAGAGTAAATTTAATTACCAAGCTCCAATATATAATGCATTGAATACCTTGCATCAAAACTTTTATAGCATATGCATTTAACTTCAAAAACATTGTACATATTCTTCTTTTTTATGTACTGAATTAATGATTCTTTCTCCCCACCAAGCTCTGGTGATACAAAAGGTGCTATTTAAGGCAGAACACCCAATGGATGTAATATGTTGCAAAGGCACACTTTAGCTTCCCAATTCCTGACATCCTGTTTGATGGTATGGATTACAGCTGCCTTTATCATTGCTTAGCATGATAGATGTGCCTCCAATGATTACATTACACAGCTGGATGAGTTCCACGGATACCTATCTACCAACAACCAAACAGATTAGATCAACTGAATGGCCATTTCTTTGTTAGCAACAAAAAATAAGCACATTTGCAACAAACACCATCATGGAATCACTCCTCTTATTCAATAGGAGTAAGCTGGATCAATGGCATATTCAGCCAACAAAATTAAAATGAAAAAAGGCAAATTAATAATTGATATTACAATAAGCAAATGAAACAAACTGGGTCCAGTCATCTTTAGTTTGGAATGGGTACTGATTAAATGATTTTGGAGCCAAAACACAGGCATTTTGCTACTTCTTATTTTATACCCAACTCCTGTCTTTGTTTTTCAAAGATACACACACTCTGCTGTCAAAGTTTGCTTGTTTATTAAATGATGAAGAAAGATTAAACCCTGCCTGTGCTACCACATCTTTCCCTCCAGCAACACACAGTTCATGCTGTATTTCCATTACAAGCATAAACATTTGCTTTTCAAATCACCATCTCTTTCTGAATAATTTAATTCAAAGTAAACCGTGAAGGAAATACCATTAGAAACAGCTTAGACCTTTATCCTACCAGTCTGAATCCGAGTTGTCACCACAGCTTCTGACTGGGATAGCCCAAGTGGCAGCACACAGCTGCAGGTTGTGTCCGAGTTGTAAAACCTTTCAGTGTTTCTGCAGCTTTCAGGATGACACCAATTTTTTAGTTCTATCTCACCTCGTATCTGGCACTTAAAACGTCTTGCTTGCAAGACTTCAGGTGTTATGTAGAAAAAAAAACATAATTAGTAACTTCCAAAATAAACTCTTAAATAAAACTCTTTTCCAATCATTCATATAGTATGTACAGCGCATGAAGTTAATATAAACATTTTCAGCTGCAGCTGTCTTAATTTTACTTTATGTGGTGATGAAACTGGACAACAGCCTTTTCTTGTTCATACGTTTCTATTGATCCTCGACGAATGCTTCTTATTTCTGCAATCGCGTCAACCCCAGTGATTTTCCTCTTCTTCACCAGGTAGCAGGCCAGCATTGTTCCTGTTCTCCCATGTCCGAGAAGGCAATGGACAGCCACACCCTTAAAAAAGTAAGATACCATTTACAAATTGTGTAACACTAAATTAATTAGTGAATTACCCTGTGGAGAAAATGCCTAATTCGTTTATTATGAACTCAGCATTTTGCTAACAGGGAAACCATGGTTCTAAAACTTTTTAGCTTAAGCTTTGGTGCTTACTGCACATGTTTAACAGACAAATTAGTACATTGTTTTGCTTACAATTATTGCCAAATGTCCAATAAACACCTCTTCTCTAAAAAATATATATAGTTATATAGTATATTAAACATATAGTTTATATAGTGACTACAAAGGCTGCATACAAGAGAAGGCCATTAGACCCATCTAGCTCATTCAGCAGTGCAGTAGCTTACAGACACGATGGTGTGACAAGAATCGTAACACAATCGGGAACCAATTTGTGCTTTGAAGGTATTTTAAATGTGCTTTCTCCATGTATGATAACTTAATTCCACTTACAGCTTGTACAGAGGTAAAATAACTTGTCAGGAAACACCATGTTTCATATTGTGGTATTTGTTGAAACATTTTATCTGCTCTTATATGGGCCCATAAAAAAATGTATGCCATATCTCTGGGTACATACTTCACCCTTGGCGTTGGCCTCTTCAACAATAGCAAGGAACCTCTTGATCTGATCCATACTGGGTGGACAGAAGTCATCTATTTTTATGTGGTGCAGCGTCAGTCCTGGGCATGAATCATGATAAGGAGGCTTTCTTTCACACAGAGTCACCAGGTGCTTTATGCCGTTGTCCAGCAGGAACTGATAGTGGGCAGGCATCCGCGGTAGGGCCATCCCAGCCAGCTTCTTTGGCTCAACCCAGGAAAAGTTAGGTGGAGTTAGAGAAGCCATGACTACAGCAGCCTGAAAAATCAACAGCAGCAACCATGATTTTCCTGTCTCATACATTCATGTCTCCAATTCAACAGAAGAGAATGTTCTAATGCTTCATTGTACAATTGTGTAGAAACAACAAAAAAACAGATTCTATAGAGGAACCAGTATCATATTGACTAAGATCAGAAATTTCCAGTTACACTGTCGTATAACGTCTTTATCATCTACACAGACTTTTCCAAGAGACTGCTTTTTGGAAAACATTATTCTTGCACAATGAAGCACTCTTCAGTTTAATCCCTAGTTATGACTCACCCATTATGAAGCTAGACAGTCAAGAACACACCCAGAACCCCCAAAAATTCAAAATATTTTTACAAGGCTTTTTTCATGATCATGTTCTGTGATGTTTTGCTCCAGTATACTTGCTGCTTCCAAGAATTGAGTGAAACTGTACTGTTAGCTTTACATAGAGTTAACAGGGGTCTTTCTTGTACTATACATAAAATAATATCAATAAAATATGTACTTTTCTCAAATTGGATACTGGTCTAATTTATTAGTTACAATAAAAATCCGTTGCTTCCCGAAAGCTTTGTTTTTCATTTCTATTTATTTTGCACCTTCAGTCTTAAATTAGAGAATCCCCTTACAATGAGCAGATGGCAACTTCTGGATCTGTCTAAAGACCCCCATGCCATGTGACTTCCTTCAGCTGTTCAGAGAGGGGCGGGCGAGGAAAAGCTGACATTCAAATCCAGCCAAGTTCTTAACCAAAATTTGGGCAGTTTTTTTTCTTATAGCAAACCGGCACAGTACTATTTGAATCAATTTGATCAGATGTTTTCCGACTCGCTATTTTCAACGAACTAGCCAGCTACTTTACGCCTGTATTTGGAAATGTTATACCTCGAATCTAACTTCAAATATGCTTCAGCTTAAATATTTAACGACCACCACTTTAAGTAATCCCGCACCAAACATAACTACCACCTACGTGCATTATATGAACTACTTGTTCCTTAATACCCAATATCATGGAAGAGATGCTGAATTAGTACTTTTACTAGAAAGTGCTAATTTAATTATACATCAACAATGTTAATAACGTCTAGCGTAGTGTTGCTTGTGCTGCTGTTACGAGTTTTTAATTCAATATATAAAATCCGTTCACAATTCGAACGACATTTTAAACTCAGAGATCATAAAAACATTTACACACCGAAAACGCTCTTTTTAAATTTTGTTTCGCTTTGGCGGTCGTTTCCGTGATCATATACAAGCGATACAGCCTAGTGAGATTTTAATATGACTGAAACATCTTGAGCAAAACACAGACATGACCCGAAGCAGAAGTTAGTTTTCCTGAGTTTTAGTGGTGCATTGCTTTAGAGACACCGCCATAAATATATTGGATTGTATCGAAAACAAGAGCTTTAAGTTTCTGTAGAATGTAGTCAGCTAATTTAAATAGAACAGCACAAAATACGAAAAACGCCATTCAACAAACCTCTACACCGCGGGGAAGAAAGGCTCATACGAAGCTGGACTTCAATCTCCTATGAGGACCCGGCAGAACCCCGGAACGTGTTCGCCCGAGTGACGCTCAGGAAGACCTATCAGGGACCAGCATCTCCACCAATGGCTGCGTCCTCCACACACACACACAGAGAGAACACGGCTCCGGTTTTTACATCCTTTAAAAAAACAAAAGCTCGCGGATCATTCACAGAATAATTGTCACCTTTTTCGTTGGTGCACAAATGAAACTAAACGTGAAAAAAAGATAGTGTGCAGAGGGACAACGAGCACTGTTCGCTCAACGTCAGGATGGCCGAGCGGTCTAAGGCGCTGCGTTCAGGTCGCAGTCTCCCCTGGAGGCGTGGGTTCGAATCCCACTTCTGACAAGCTTCTTTTATCGCCATGCAACAATAAAAACACTTAATTACATATACAATAAATATTTTTTTCTAGTTCATTCAAAATATTCCATTCTAGAATTATATAAAAATAACTCGATTAATACACACTTATGAACAATCTAAGATAGGAGACTCATTACTCCTAAGAATATTACCATGGCAATTTCATTCAACATTTCTCATCCAACTGGTGTAATTAAGTTTTATTTCTTAATGACATCCTCTGCAAAACATCATGCAGCACAAATAACATAACAGTTTGTATACTAAAATGATCCCCTGCCCCTGTACCAAAAAACATCTCCCTAAATTTGTATATAAGAATGTATGTAACTATCAGAAAACACTACGCAATAGCAACTCACATGACCCATATAGAGCATTCAGTCCTGTAGCAGGAAAAAAAAAACTTAAAAATGTTTCTCAGTTATAATTCCCAAAATACATATAACATTACATTTCAGGAAGTAAGCGAACATTGCAAAGAGTCACTTCTTTGAAACTTTATTATCCAGAGATTTTTCTAAATGCAATGTCCAACTCAAGAAATCTGTAAGAAGTATGCCATTTAGAATGGCATAGAAAGGTACTGGAAACCTTTGAAGGGATGTTTGGAAAATGCATATTGATATCTCTTTAAATATTGTGTTATGGTTTGTTCGTGATCAGAATTACATCTATGTTTTAAAAGAAATTCTTGGGTCTCATTCACCTGTGTGAATTCAGTCTCCAGACAAGGTTAGATGTTTTGTTTGATTTTTTAAACAAAGAGAAATCATTAAATCATTAATGTACATATTTATTAGGGTTTGAAGAATTCCAAAAAACAGTAAATCTAAGCAACAACTCAACTTCCATAAGTAGAGTTAAAAGCTCCATTTTTTTTAACCCAACAAAAAGAACAAGGTCAAACTGATTCTGCACAGTAAAGTTCCCATACTGTATATACAAACATATAGAAATAGTTTTAGGACCCAGATCAAAACTAATTATAATGAAAGGCTAAAACAGCCAGTTAAATTTATTTTTATTCAAATGAGGTGTTAAACAAAACATTTATGCACGGTATAAACAAAAACAGTCACAGACACAACTGAAATGTTCTGCATTACCAGCATACAGCCTATCCAGTTAAGGACTGGAGTTGAGTCACCCCTAACTTCTAACCCAGTCCTAGTGAACACACCAACTGTGAACTAAGTAACTAAGAGCAGGAACTTTAAACTGGTTAACTTAACATTACACCTTGCTTACACACCACTATAAGGATATTCCTCATAACAGATGCATCTATAATTAGTTCAAGTTATTTACTTATTCACGCATTAATGAAGTACACATCCCAGTACTGAGGTATGTGGTCTATTCAAGGTTTGACAAATATTTACTAGAAAATGTTAGTTCACGATGGGGAGGGCAGGGAGGTGAAAGAACAAAAAAGCAAATGTGATCCACATCTGTGACCAATTAAAAATAATATCAATTCAGCAATTCAGGGCGTTGAAGAGTGTATGTTATTCCTACATTAACATATTTTATTGGATAAAAGGTACATGCATTGCTTAATATATACCTTGATTTAAATGTTTCAAAGTTTATAGTATAATTCTAAAAAATTCATGTCTGTAATGAAGACCAGTAAATGTCACATAAAGATCAATAGTCACACTCAGACCACATAGTTTTGAAAAAGGTTTTACAGCTGTAACAAGTCAAAGGCACAGTATTAATTAAATCAACCAAGAGAATATTCTATAATTCAAAAATCAAAATAACTTGTATTCAACTTTTTGATTGAAATTTTCATTCAAAGCTCATAATGCACATCAAAGATTCAAAGATTCTTGGCACAAAACCAAAACATTACCAAGTACATTTTTCAGTACAAGAACTAGAACAATATGGCAACACTTATCTAAAAGGAAATCATAAATATAATCTATAAAATCTATGAAAGACTGAAACCTTCATAGCTGGAGATGAAGACTACATATGATTTTTGAGTATATTAATTATGCAAACCAAGATCTGAAATACTGAAAATTGAAAATAATAATTAGTACTCAATCTTTACACTTTTAGTCTACACTTTGCACTGTAGAAGTCCTACTTAATCTATTCTTATTTAAAGCACATTGTGAATAGAGCAGGAGGAAACGTCTGAACACAACCTGCCATTTCAAGATGTCATTAAATTATGAGATTAAGGAAGTGGGTATTTCCCACCATCAGAAAACATTTTTTGGACACATTTCCAGTGTTTTTGGCAAATAAGGGATGATTTTAAGGCAAAATATATGCATTTTTCCCCATGTAAAATACTTAAGTGGAAAGAAATCACCATTACATTTAATCTGTGATGAAATAATTACAAAGCTTGGACATCAACTATATAAAATGATACAACTTATACAAATACATTTGTAAGAAATTGTTGTCTGTTCTACTATCTAAAGAAGTTTCCACAGTAGTGGACAAAGTATCTATGCCTTGACCATATCACACATCAGAATAAGACGAATGCAGGTTTTCATTGTCAAAGTACACACCTTAAAACAAAAACTTTAGGCAATTCCTAAAATCACAAACATGTCATAAATATTGAGCAAACGTTCAGCAATTCATTTACACTGCCAACCCAAACTAGTGAGGTTAGAAATGAAACTTTTAGTAGCCGATTGTCTTGTAATAATCTCCCAGATCTTCATTTCTGCATCCTAGAATCCACATCACTTCAGCTGCAAAAAAGGCATAGAAATATACTATTTAATATTATTTACTTAAACTAGAAATCTAGATACTATGTACTATGATATTGTGGTTATATCAATTGACACCAACATACAAAGTAACTTTAAATTATAGTGTCAGCCAAATTAATAACAATTTACCATCCCTTCTTTTTTATGCAAGCTGTTATGTTTAAATACATTATGCAGCAGTTATTGAAAGAATTAAAAAATGGCATCATTCTATAGTACACATGAACAATAAATGATAAACTAACCGATTTCTCACTATACAAAAATTGTCATATTAATAAAATGTAGTGCAACCAAATAATAAAACCCATTACTGTAAAAGTACAGGCAACAAGCTACCTGGTGATATCAATATTGTGAATTTAGTATAGTTGAGACATCAACAGCTCAGAGGAGAAAATTAAAAATGGAAGATGAGCTAAACAGCTTAGGAAGTTAACTAAAAAAATATAGACCTATGCATCTCTCATTTTAGTAACTACTCGTAAGTAAAGTGCTCATTTAACAAAGGATGAGTGTAGTAAATTCTTAAATGTTTAAGAAACAAAGATAATGAGTTGTCACAACAATTTGCTTTTCCCCCACTGAAACCGGGACAAAACTGACTTAGGAATCAATGCACCGATATATACGATTCATAGCATCTATATTGCTAATTCCCAAACCTTAACACACTGTTTAAATATACTGAAGTCATATGTAAAACACTTACCCTGCTTGGACAATGGCATCACTTCGGTGAGCTTCTCCCTCTCTCTTCTGACTGCGGATCTTGAAAGCGTCTTGGCTGAAGTTGAATTCTAGGCTGCTCGGAGTCATCAGCTCTGCCGTAGCTCTCTAGTTTGGGGTATACATTGTTGCTTTTCTTTTGTGTAAGCGAAAGTGAGTGCCTGACGCTTCCACATATTAAGCTAGATGTCTTTGGTGAAGCATCCAAAGCAGACTCAGGACATATCTCCTGCTGCAATCTGAGTCCAAGGATACAGTCAATGTAAGCGGCATGTCCAGCTTCAACCAATTCCTTAGCTATATTCACACCATTTGACAGGATATCTACTTCCCACAGATTTTCAAACACACACTGTCTAAAATAAATCACAAGATTTCTCGCAGACATGCATGCCTGGAAGAATACTGCAGCTTCATCTGTCCAGTGTTCCACACCAGCAGGATTAACCCCTCTAAGAATACAGGGATATGTCACCTTTGGCAAACTTGTCAGTTCTTCTGGGAGTCTTTTCAGTTTATTCGCACTTGTGCAAGGTATCTCTATACAATGACCATAATCTACAAGTAAAATCAGCACAGATTTATTGTCCACTTTAAGGATCTCTCCTCTGCACCATTTATTCTTTGTTTCAGATTTGACTACACAGCATGAACCGGGATTTAAATGGGTTTCTGGCAATGCAGGCAGCTCTTCCGGAAGGTCCTCCAGTATTGAGGAAACCCTGGTCATTGTAAAAAACAAATCTTCCAGAGTAATGTAAAAATCACTAGGATCAGTGACAGCTGCTGCAAATCCAAAGTATGCAACATCTGTTTTGACAGAAGACAAAAAGAGCCTCTGATCAGGATCAAAGTTATCCACAGTATGATCATCTTCTAAAACAACATCGGAATAGGAAAGAGATGGCCTTTCCTCTTTAGTTGCTGCTTCAAGCTGTTGGGTAAATAAAACATCAACTACCCAGAAGGGAGAAAGCCCAGAGAAAGAGATAAATACAAGTTTAATATCCTGACCCATTAAAGACTTCAAAGCATTACGTAATGCTTTGTGAGATTCCTGAGCACTTAACTTACATAAAACAGCCAGCCGGGGAATACTTTTAAGGTCATTACGGAGCTCTTTAATGTTGCACACAGAAACCACTTCTGATATACCATGATCAAAAAAGAAAACAAGCACTTCTTCCTTCTCAATACACAGGTTTTGAACTTCTGCTCTGTACCACTTATTTTCTTTAGACTTTGCTAAACATTCAAGTCCTTCCTCTAGATCTTGTACAGGAAGAGAAGAGTTATTCTTCTTTGTATTTTCTCCAATGGTAAGATCAAGCCAAGTAAGCTGTTCCGAGTTCTTAGCAAGCCCAACACAGATCATTTCACTATCCAAAACTGACAGGATAGTTCCATCTTCTGTCTGACCAGGCTTAATGTCCTGAAATGGAATCTTCACATTTTGCATCAACTTCACTGTTTTGTCATCTTTAGATACCTGGATGTCTCTTAAAGACTCCTGAGGTTCTGCAGTTTCTTCTCTGTACTCATGGTTCATTACAGCTCTTTCATTATGAGGGTAAGATTCAAACCACCCAGAATCAGTACCTTCTGAATTTAAAGTGCTGTCAAAGTGCGGTGAAACACATGCTTCCATTTCACCCTTTATCTTAATTATAATCTCCCACTGTGATCCAAACATTTGAACAAACTCAACTAATAGAGGTCTATCAGCTACTTTATTTCTAAAACTGACACCATCACCTAAGGTATGAGATGTTTCTAGAAAGCAAGGGATACTTAGTCTTCGCTGAGTCAAACATTTGTCAGGAAGTCTGAGCATATTTGTCTTCTCCACCTTTGCTGTATTTCCGTAGTCAATAAACTCCACTTGCAGACAACCATCACCTGTCCTTTCTTTTACAACAGAGCGGTAGAACGAACCATCTTCTTCAAATTTAACTGCTACCAGGTCGTCAATATTCACCTCTTCATAAATGAAATTCTCTTGATTTGCTTTGTACAGAACAGCATTAAGCTCCTCCACTATATTCAGAATAGCTTGCTCATCCTTTTCCATTTGTATGTAGAAGTTAGAATCTGCATTAATATGCGACACAAATGCTATGCCCTTAAAACCTGGTTTTATTTTCAACTGAGGGAGATCAGAAAGTTTTGGCAATACTTTAACTATTTTCATTTGAAAATCTCCATTTATATTTTCACACACTTTTGGATCTTTAAAACATGAAACTTTTTTAGTAGTTTGCTTTACTCTCAGTTTATGCACACATGGCTCTCTTCGTTGGCAATCCTTCAGGGTCTTTGAAAATGTTATTTTCTTGTCAACAGACTGCCAAATTTGAAGGCAACCTTGATTTGTTGTAGTCCCTTGTTGAAGATCCTTCTGGTTTTCTGTTTTTGGTTCCCACTTCACTTTTGAGCATTTGACAAAGTGGCTTGTCTCACACTTGGTTGCAACAGGCTCTTTATCAAGCACAGGTAAGGTAGCATGAGACCCATGCAATGCAATCAATTTTTTAACCTTCTCATTTATCTGCACATTTCCATCATACAGTTCACAAATAAAGGTGCCATTATCCTCTTTAGCTAACACAATCACTTTCAGTTGTTTATTTACAACATGCTTCTCAAGCCATGCATTCACTTCTGAAAGTATTTCACCTTTGGGTATGTCGGAAAGGCAGAACTGTAGTGTCTGCATGGGCTCAAACAGTAAATCTGTAGCATCTGGAGGAATAGGCAGAACATTTCTCTTATCAACAACCTGCATGTCTCCATAATCCACATAAAAGACACCAACATAGAAATGTGACTTCACTGCAAAGCACAAGCCCCTATACCACAGACCATCCCCAGGATACTTCGCCAGACAAAGCCTTCCTAAACCAGCATTCTGATCAGATGTCTTGTTTATTCTTTTAATTTTTTCCATTAGCCCATCAATGAGTTCTGTATTTCTGTCTAACTGGCAGTAGATCTCCCAAGGACTGCGTACATGAGTGACATAAACAAGCTCTTCACTTCCAATTTTTATGTCAAATGAAGAATAAAAGAAAGAATGCGGATGAACTGATTCAATAAGCTGCTTTGAGGTTGACATTCCTCTTGCAAAACCTCTCTCTATGAGCAACTGTGTAGCTTTCTGAAAAGGTGTCTGAATATCCACAACATTACAAAAACCCTTCCCCTTTACATACTGCTGAGCATATATAATGCACTTGAGCTCTGGAGAATGCTGCCGAGTGAAGTTCCTCAGTAATTTGATTGCATCTTCACACCAATCATTAGGATTGTCATCTATAGATTCGATTAGGTTGTAAAGACTACACCTAAATGCTTGTCCTTCAAGTTCAAGGAAGTTTTGGCTTATTGCACGGACATTTCGCTTCTTCTCTCTCAGTATATTGCCAAAATCAACCAGAAAAACATCCACTTCCCTGCGCTCTCTCTTGACGATAAAACCTCTATACCACTTGCCACTTTCTGAACACTTTACAACACAGGCCAGCTCACTGGACTGTAAAGGGTCTGCATGCACTTCATAATACTGCTGGAGCATCTCCATTAATTTAGTCAACTTATACAACTTGCTCTGAAGCTGGCACCAAAACTCAGACGGAGAGTTGACACAGGAAATTTTAACATTCAATTCACTTCCTACTTTGAAGATTTCTGGTTTGAACATGGAGACTGGAGTAGGATTTCTTTCGCACAGGGCATTTAGTCTAACAATTCCTGAAGTGTCGTCTTTGTGCATTCCAAAATACTTTCCTGTTCCTACTCTCTGATCACTGGAAGATTTTTGGTTAAAATGATTTGACACACTCTTTGGAAGTGTACTACGGTTCTTCTGCTTTTCCGTTTTCTGTTTTTCCCAGTACGCTCTGGCTAAGCTTTGTTCATAATCTTTGGACATGCACTCCCAGTATTCAGCCAGTTTAGCTGTAATCATAAGCATAGCAATGCTAATATTGGTGATGTCCCTTTTCTCATGCAAGTCCACAATGTATTTATCAGTCCTCTTTTGAACAACACTCGCTAAGAGAACTTTATTACTGACTACTTTCCTGAAGTAATCTGTTGCAGTACTTGTCCATACATCTTCCACAGGAACTACGTGAGCAAGGGAGCAATGAATTGCAAATGCAGGCTCAGCTGCAAATGTAGAAGGCAGTGTTTTAATGCACATGCCTGGAACCTTTTCAGTGTTTCCAAAATCAATAAAAAACACTTCTGCTCCACTGTCAAAAACATCAGTTATGACAGCTCTGTAATAATGCATATCCTTTTCATACATGGCACAGCAAAGAAAGCCAGGCTCTGGATCAATCATGATACCTTCATGTAACTCTAAATTGTTGACATATTCTGTCAGTTTGTCCATCATATCTTCAAAAACACCATTTCGCACTTCTGTTCTCATCCAGAAGTTAGATGGGTTCACAATGTGTTCAGTATAACCTACAAAGTCTGAAGTCTCCTGTATTTCTTTGACAGGAACAGTACCTTCCTGTGTTTCTTTTCCATCTGTGCAGTTTCCATCCTGTGGCAAAGAACCATTTTCAGAAGAAATGTGGTCCATTCTGTAAAAACTGGTGGATTCGTCACCTTTTCTGGCATCAGATGGAATTTTACTTGCATTTTCACAAGAGTCCAGATCTGTATCAACTTCAGTACTATACAGAGTAACAAAGTACAAATTCTGTTCAGCGCAAAAGCTATCTATTTGAATATCTAAAGTTCTCCCTAAAAGCCCTTTCTTAAATTTTTTCAGCTGCAGTCTCTGTTCCGTTTCGTCATGTCCATTCACACAGGATAAGGCACATGGGAAAGCCATAACTGCTGTAGATAGAAAAACTGAATCCAGCTGAAGGATGTGCTCCACTTTTACAGAATCAGAAAAACCATAATCAACAAACAGAACTCTTACTTGGCCATTAGAAAGGAACTGTTGCACAAAGCCTCTGTGCCACTTTTCATCTTTCCATTTAACAGAACACAGCACCCCCATGTTTCCAATATGCTTCTGGGAAAGCTCGCTGGACATATCACAAGACGATGACAAGCTTTCAGTCATTTCTCTAAGATCCTTTTCCATGCTCATTAACTGACAGAAAAATGTTCTGGGGTTTATTCCTGCTGTTATTTTACCTCTTTCCGTTTTCCCAATACACACTTTGGGGCCACAGGATGACAGGATACTTTGGAAGCATTGGACACTTGAAGGTGTAAAAGATACTTCCTGTTCAATGTGCTTTTCAACTAATAGGCCCTGAACAGGTTTGCTGTTTTGTTTCAGATGTACTTCTGTCAACATCTCAACAAGGAGAAGGAATGTGTCCTTATCTGCATGCCGCCCAAATCCCAGTCTTGTGATTTCTTTGTTAATATCAGGAGCTTCTAATACTAACACTTTGTGTGACAGCACTGCTTGGATATAGCCCGTGATCTCCAGTCCTATTAAGGAAGTAAAATAGTCCATTGTCAAAGAATTCCAGGTTTCTCCAACAGGCAGAATATTTGCAAAAAATCCACAAACAATTTTAGGGGGAAGCATGAACAGCTCTTGAGGGGCAGATGCCAGATGGCTTGCGTCAACATTCAAAACGCTGCCATGGTCTATCAGAAAAACGTCAAATAAATTGTTGCACTTGTTTTGCACCCTTCCTCTACACCACCAGCCAGAGAAAACATCTTCTACTAAACAGTAACTCCCCACTTCTATAGTCTCTTTGGTTTTGTGTGTGTTCTGTATTTCTGCTTGTAATATATTGTAATCCAATTCACAGATGGTTAGATATTGACCTTGGAAGTGGACTAGAGTATCTTCAAGATTGCAGTCCACATGCGTTAGCTTTAAATCCACAGGCCGCAAAGCATAAGGCTCAGGAAGATCTGTGTCCAGGTGTGGCCTAAAACAAAGACATAGCAGGAACAGTGATACAAGTCAAAATGAATATTCATGACAACAGACAGACATTAATGATTTATATCTTACCTTTTAGATTTTGTTTTAACTACCAACTCAGCAGAAAAATCGAATCAAAAATTTCAACTGACTGCGGAGACAACATGGAGCCCTCCCGGAATACACTCTGCGTCTTACAAAACAACAGCCACTAAACCATTCCTCAAAATGGTAATTTACAAATCCTGTTAAGAAGCGGAGTATAAACCCAAAAGGGTGTTTTCCTTGCCTGAAATGTGTGGCAGATTTGCATAAGAAAAGTTAACCTAACCTAAGGAACACTCAAAGCATTTAAAATCAAAGCTGCATTGTTTCTAAAAGAACACCAAGAACATTAGAAAGCAATACTGTCAGGCATTAATCAGATTATTTGACAAATAGTGTTTATGATTATGTCTCTGTTAATTAAAAATGGCATGAAACAAAATCCACCATACCCGACTACTGCTCAACGTACTTGTATCAGGTCAATGGATTAATGTAATTTACTGTAATTAAAAATAGAACACCCCATAAATTGGGAAATACCAAGCAATGTCTTGTGGCTTCTTAACTTGTGACAAATGCGATAGTTGAGAAATTAGACAAAAGTACTACACAAAACAAATAGTTATAATTAGATTGTGAGTGGCTGCAGACCTCTTGTCTACGTATGCCATCATCTCCCTGCTATTCAACAAGTCCTGAAATGTGACTAAGCCTTTTAAACCTTTTTTTCTAATTCTGCAGTGTTTGCTAAACCTGCTATTTTGGTATCATCCGCAAACCTGACTGGTTTAATAACTATACAAGACCCTAGATCAACGGTCTCCATGCCCGGTCTGACAGAGCCCCAATATAGCTACTCCTACAAGTCACCTGCAGTAAAATCACCCATATCTGGAACACCTGGAATTTACTGAACAATTCAAAAAAGTAATTTGTTCAGTTAAGTGAACTCTGGTCATTGAGAACTGGATATTCTGATCTTTGTTCCAAATGATCTCAAATTACTTTAGCAAGCTGACTGTTCAATTGCTTGAAATCCTTAGAATCTGATGATTTAATTGTTAACTACAAAACTGATGGACTGGTGGTCTCTTAAGACCTCATCCGGAAATTCCTGATCCACACCATCAATTTAACTAGGGAGTGCTGTACTCTAATATAGATCCCCGTTAACCCACTAATTACATTACCAAAAAAGGAGTATTCATACATGATCTGTATTATTGTTTTGATCCATTAACCAGTAGTCAAACCAAACACACCCTCCAAGGTCGATCACCTGCAATCAATCTTTTATGACAAACCTTAGCAAAAGCCTTCATAAAATCACCCATATTACATAAAATAGAGTATGCCATATCACATACTCTGTTTCTAGTCATTACTGCTGCTGCTTGTAGAATTCTAACAAGTAACTAAGGAAGACCTACCTTTTCTATCTGCATTTTAATTATCCTTTATTAAGACTAGAGCGACAAAGTTAAACACATTGTGCCATCTGTTTATACTATTGATCGGCTCCAACCATTAGATTTATCTCACTATTTATGGTCTAACCATAAATAACCGCTTACAGAAACAAGCAACCCTAAACCCTGTCACATCATTTATCTCCTAAGAATGTTGGTTTTTATTTAGAAAAACCAAGAAAATAATACAACTCTATCGTCTTTACAGAAAGATGTTTTGAAAAGTTTAACCATCCATAAGAAAGAACAGTAAGCACTTGTGCCAACATCCTAAAACAAGATCACAGAGCAGGCTGAGGTTAAGCAAATGTGAGATGTTCACAAAAAGGGAAATGGTTCAATTCATCAGTAAGTGTCCAAAGTATACATTTCTGACCTTAAGGATATTGCAGCTGATGTAAAGAAGAACTATCAAATTATATTTGCAACAACACTGAGTAAAATCATTCACAATTAAGCCGAGAGTACTTTAATGTACAGTACTTTAATAAAACAGTATTTCATAAGTTATTACTCCTAAAAGCTTTTTAACAGGTAATTGTTAGACTTGACTCTTGAAATTTATATCTTTAGCCTGCTTTATTCTGAAGGCTATAAACCTGCACATAAGGGGTCACAGCAGGGAAAGAAACATTAACAGGAACACAAAGATGGTGGCATATTGCTTTCCAACACTCTTCATTAAGAACAATGTGCAGAATGCGTGTTCCTTTGTTAATATAGTGTGCAGTGAAATTCCTTGTGCCATAGGGTCCCTCTAACTCTGCTATCACACAAGCAACCCTCACCTCACCTTTCACAGACTTCTTAATCTATCAATTTTCTAATCCGCTTATTCAGTACACTGTTGCAGATGGAGCCAGAGCCTAAACAGGCAAGCAACAGGCGCAAGACAGGATACATCCTAGACAGGACTCCAGTCCATCACAGAGCACACACAAACATACTCACAGCAGGGCCAGTTTTCCCTAAGACCGATTAACCTACCGGTATGTCCTTGGACTGTGAAGGAAGTCAGCAAAAACTCATGCAAACACAAGGAGAACATGCAAACTCCACATAGACAGCGCAATAAGAATTGAATCCAGGGCCCCAGCACTGCCAGGCAGCAATGCTAACCACTGTGCCACCATGGCATCCTCTGCAGAATTCATGAAAGGGAATCCCATCGTTCTGCATCCAAATTTATACAGGATTTAATACCAAGGATACTTAATCTCCATTCAACTACTGACATACTGTACCGCAGTGAAAGCTGTGCACATATTCTGTCCTTTAGTGCTGTTATGAACACACTCAGCCTGGGAGATAGTTCTGTAGATTCCCCCCCCCATACAATCCCAACATTCACTTACTAAAGGTTCTTCAGTGTGACTACAACATATTGCAGCCAGATCCAGACATAACAGATATGCTTTTTAAAAGGTCATACATAAAGCACAGGAATTTGCATTGCACTGCTTTAGGAATTCTGCCAAAATAAGACATTTTGCAAATGTTACACCAGGTTAAATCAGTGTAATGCTGCTGCTTGAGCCATTAGGGAATTGTGCTTTAATACCACAATTAAGCTTTTTTTATTTACAATAAATAAATCTCTGAAAACTGGACATTCAAAAACAAACTACCTCAATTTCCAGAAAACACTCAAATGAACTCACTTTCAGTTTGGAACGAGAGTGTTTACATACCTTGGATTTCCTGATGCAGTGCCTGAAAGCATTTTTTAGTATTTTGAAAAGCCTGCAAAAAATAAGAAGCATGTCTCCATGCAATAAAACTGGAAAATACAAAACAGCAACAATAATGTATAATTTATATAGTGACAGGCTTAACATAACATGCCAAGATTACAAAATACTGAGATGAAACCACCCGATGTCTTCTTTTTAAAGAGCATGAAAATTTTAGAACAAAATAAAAATGCTTCCTACAGAATTAGAAAGCAGGGAAAATGAGGAAGGAGACTACGATGGGATCGGGACACTACTTGGAGCACGATATATTTTTTAACATTAACCCTAACCTCTGTTAATAATGTAATCACTGTAAAAGAATACGTACAGTATGTATTAATTTGATCTATTTTCCAAATTCCAACCATTTCTATGATAAAAATGCATTTAAAATTAGTTTAAGATATAAGTTGTATTGAGAAAACATTACTTTAAAACTAGTCTCAGGAAATCCACGTGCACTGGGCTACCAAAACCATCATAACCCAATCAGCTTAAACAAAGTGCTTTAGATATGTCGCGATACATTTTTTGGACATTTACATATTAGAGGCATTAAGAGTTAAGTCTTGAATGCTAAAAAGTAGATATTCTTCTGATGATTAGCCGCCAAAGATATTTCTGTAATCTTCGTTTAATGAAGGGGGAATAAAAAAATAGTATTTTGATTTTTGTGGTAAAAACAATTATTCAATCAACAGACAACCTCAACGACAACTTTTAATTTAGAAAATGTCTATAATCTTCGATAAACACTTTAACCATAAAAGGGAACAGCTATGATCCCCGTGTCAGAAAACAACTGTGATTCTGTGAAAAGCTTTTTATGCTTGAGATTCAGGAACATTATATATTTCTTATATATTATGTTCAATATTTCAAAATGAAGAAAATCCCGGTTTGACTATTACGTTTCTATCGTTCTGCACAGAGTTCCTAAATTAGTAAAACCACGAAGAGGCAAATAATCCACGGCCTGGTCTTCACACTCCGAAAAATCGTACCGCTCTGACAATTTTGTAATGCAGTTTTCTTCTAACACCACAAAGAAATTGTGCGTAACAAAACTCGAAACAGGACGAGAGCTACATCATTAACTAACTTTTTCTAGGACTTTTTATCACGCAAGTCTTCCCTTACATTTGAAGTGTTCAGTATGTAACATAAACCTAAAAAAAAACCCACGAAAACATGGCGGTCGGGTTAACGAATTATCAGACCATGAGGGATATTTGCGGTTCTATATCGAGATGGAATTCGCATTGCTTTACCTTGTATAATGTGACTTATGTAGACTTGCATCAGCCATTGTTAAAGCTTTTCATGCGGCGCTGAAATAACGCCACTCGCTACAGGATAAGTGCTATCTGGGAATACAAAGCCCATGCTGTCGACTACTCGCCCAATTTCAAATTTCTCAAGCCGCAGGTGAAATGGCCCAGCTGTGTTTTTACGTTTTAAACAAGCAAGCCAATCCGTTACAACTAAAGTAAAGCGAAGTTTGTTTTTAACTTGCCAAATCAAAACTAAAATGAAATAACATGATTAGACGACTGTACGAGAACGTTTAGTTCACTCATTATAAAACGGTACAGTGACTCGCGATTTGGATTCTGCGTTTGGCTCCTGCCGCGTTTTCTCTCCTTCTTCCTGGTTTCGTAAACCGCAGCGAGTCCTAGTGCTACCACCTGCTGGACAGGGGGTTATATTTAAATCTTTAAGTGTTTTATTATGGGATGAGGACCCCCCAAGTATATAGCTCATTATTGTTGTTTTGTTATAATAATAATAATAATAATAATAATAAACAACTTTATTTTATATAGCACCTTTAAAGGCAGCTTCTCAAAGCGCTTTACAGGATGACAATAACAATAAATAAGAAGAATACAACAATAAATAAGGAGAATACACAAGATAAGACACAATTACAATATATAGAGGAGACCGTGGATGGTGGTACTAAGAAGAGCAGAGGGGTGAAGAATGGATTGGGGGACAGTAAGGAGGGCAGAATTTGAAGAGCGGAGGTTGCGAGGTGGGGAGTAGGGCGATAATAGTTCAGACATTTACTGAGGTGCCAAGCCATGCAGAGCCTTATAGGTGAGCATGAGGATTTTAAAGACTACCCGGAATTTGACCGGAAGCCAGTGCAAGGACTCCAGGACAGGAGTAATGTGAACACTTTCCTGGTCAGGATTCTGGCTGCTGAATTTTGGACATACTGCAGTTTGTTCAGAGTAGATTTAGATACCCGAGCGAGTAGAGCATTGCAGTAGTCAATTCGAGAGAGTACAAATGTGTTGATCAGCTTTTCAGCCACAGTTAATGATAGCATAGGGCGTAGTCTTGCGATATTTCTAAGGTGAAAAAAAGATGTTTTGACAGTATGCTGCACATGTGGGTTGAATGTTAAGCCAGAATCGAATATAACCCCAAGGTTTTTCAATTTTGATTGAAGCTCAAGTACAGAGCCATCTACAGAAAGGGTTACAGGACTGACTTTACGAAGTTGATGGGGGGTACCAATAATCACGACTTATTGTTGAATATGTGTTTACAATAATAAACAGTAAATAAGAACTAAAGGTAAAGTGATTTACTAAGTTTTCATGAAATTTAAGACTGACTGCTATACCAGTGTGGATTTTGCACGGCACACCTCTGACTGTCTTCAGGTGACTTTTCAGGTTTTTCTAGTGACTCCTTTGCATAGTCTCCAGACATGTTTATACAGTATATTTGTTTTAGGGTTATACTCAAATCTGGTAGCTCTGCAGTCATAAGGGGAAGTTCACATAAAATACAATGCCAACATTGTAAAATGTACAAATTATTAACATTGTACAGCAGACAGATACTGTAAAATCTCTTTTAGAATACTATGTACAACTTGCAAAAATATATTACTTCTATTCAGTTCAGTTCACTTCACTGTCATTCTGCACTTATGCAGATGTACAAGACAGAACGAAATTTAGTTTCTCCTGACCTGAGGTGCACAATACACTAGAACCAGTCAGCATAATGTCACAGTACAACACAGAAGAACACACCTGAGGGGGGGATCAAGAATCATTAGAGCTATTGAGGTAGTATTGGTATATAAGTGAAAAAATAAAAACAATGTAAAGAGTAGAGGATAAATAAATAAAATAATACATAGGTATTTACATAGTGTAAGTAGTGATGTGTAAATAAGCATTCTGAAATTCACTATATCAGTAACTCCAAAAAACTGTCTCTTTACTAACACATAGGAAACGTTTATCAGGGAAGTTGTCTAGTCATTTAAATCAATTAAATAAAAGGTGTAGCAGCCTTTAGCTCTGCAAACAGAGAGGATATGGTTCATGACACTAACATTAATATTGTTGACAGATAACCCCTACAGAATGCCAAAATCGGAAATTGAACACTGAACAAATGGTGTCCTTAGCTTGAATACCTCTGTACATGTTGCTTATTAAATTTTGTAATGTATGGCAGTGTTATTGCCTTGCGTCTGGGCAGAGGCAACATTGACAGTGACCTGTTTCTAGACTGAACGCATCTACACATCTACAGCTACATCTGTTCTCTTTCTTTCATTTCCCATTTACAACTGTTTTTATGCAATATATGCCAGGGACCTGTGCAATACATTTATATTTATATTTATATCTATAGCTATATTTACATCTATATTTATATTCATATGTGTGATACTATTTTTCTGCGTACTGTTCTGTTCTAGTTTGTTCTTTGTGTGTCTGGACTGTCAGTAACTCTTTTAGTGCACCCCTCACTGTACTGATTGTATTGTATGTATTGTACTATTATTATTATTGTATCATTCGTTATACTGTGGCTGTGTTGTCTGTGTTAAGCTGCTGTTGCACTGCAATTTTCCTCACGGGATCAATAAAGTATCTATCTATTTGTAGCTTATTCTCTTGTGCTCATTAGCAAACAAAAGTGACCTGTCTGTTCTATTGTGTTAATTAAATTATTGTGGATATATAACTACAGATTAGGACTCTGAAGCAGCATCTGTATCTTTAAATCTGCATCACATAAATTATATTATGACTATCTCATACAGCTAAGTAACCTTATTACATGTTTGCATTCTGTATGAAATGTTTGCTTTCGCAATGGAGGGTAACTCCATTTGCATAATCTTGCCTTCACTTCAATAACCATCTGCTGAGAGGTCATATACAAACTTATTCTCTGTGCCTGGGTCACCTTAACCAAATAACTTATGATCTATTATTTATAGTCAACAACTGATGAAAGACAAGCATTGAGAACAATCCAGGGCCAAGAAAAAGTTTGTGGACCTCAAAGATAAATATGGAAATGTCAAAGCTTTACCACAGTAGCCTTCTTGAATCAAGCCTTCTTGAATCAACCAGTAGCTTGCAGCCTTCAGTTGCCCCAGTAGATCGTGACTTTCCCACGAGTGATCACAGTCGTCCCGTGGCTCTCAAGACTTGGTCAGGTCGCCGTTTGGTCTGCCCTTCCCCTTGTCACTCAGGCAACCAATTTTCCCATTAATTTAGTTAGTTTTTAGTGCTCTGTGATTGAGCTACCAGTGGCAGTACCGCTCTCAACAGAAACCCCGCTGGATGTGCTAGCAGACTTGGCTAGGATTGTGAATCCCAGAACCTGCCTGCGTTCTGGACAATGAGCCCCAGCGCAGTTGTGTTCTTCACAGGTCACTGCGAATCCAACAGCCACATCGGCTAAAGTAGTTGCCAGTCAGCAGCCCCTATCCTTCCCTGACCTCTGTGACTCCAACAGCCACATCAGCCTGTTACCAGTTGGCAGCCCTTCTCTTCACCGCGCCCTCAACTGCCTCTGGTGAGTTCCGGCCCTTCCTCCTCAGGAAAGTTTCTCCATTAGGTTTCTTTGGAAACCTATGAAATGTCCAGTCTGTAGCACTTCGATATCAACCCGCAAACCCACTGCTGCTGCCTCCTGTGCACAGCTGTGCTGTAACACAGTCTTTTTGTAAGTATCCTGCTGGGTTTATAGTAACCAATTCCATGTCTCTTGCAACAAAATGACAAATTACACGAACAATGAGTAATTGAAGTATTAGGTGATGTTAAAATTTAAGTGAAGTAGTTTCATTAGCTCAATTAAGGGAATAAGTATAATCAGATGGCTAAATAATCATGTAGAACCTAGGGGTTGAGTTTGAAAGGCCCCACCATATATAAAGGTCAGAAATGTTGTGAGTTAGTTCCTCACCATACAGGTGTGTGGAAACTTGTCATACCGTAAACTAAGGAAATGATTGAGGACCTGAAGAAATGGATACACAGCCATTTAGCTGATAAGGTCTTTTAGAACCTTGAAATATGGGTCAGACACCAAAAAGATGATAGTTCAAGACAACAAAAACAGTCTTCATTGTAAAGACCTTGTATAGAGTCTAAAACATGTCGTAAATGTTTTAAGCAACAGAAACCCAAGTCTTATAATCAGGGTTTCCCATACCATGTTCATGTTGCTTATGATACTCTGAACAAAAGGAGTACCACTATAAGGTGTGCTTTTATTGGAGCAGTGATTCTGTCACCTAAAATGGTTAAGCATCCTTCCTTGATAAGAAGTATGATTTATTAAGATAAAAGAAAATGGAAAGTGCACCAACATTTGAGCACACATGAACACCTGTCTATAGGTTATGTGAAGGTCTGCTTAATAAAGTGCTTTTTGCAATAATCAAACCAAAGTCTCTTTATTTCATCCAATTCAGTCTTTGTTATACTGTAAGTGACAAACTTCTTCTCTTCTTCTCCATCTCTCAGTTTACCCCCATTACTGTGGTTCGGTAGTCTGTTTCATCCAGATGAATAATCTGGGAAATGTGTATTATGTTTATGTATATGATGTATATTTTATAACCCCTGTCCTGCGGCATTTCTCAGCCCCATGGTTGCCCTGGGTAACCGTTGCAATCTCACGAGGGTGCACAGATGTTATCAGGTACTCGACTTTTCCTGCCTTTTGTTTTCTTCTAAATATTGGATATGCACTGTGTATCATATTTGACCTTGGTGGTAGCAGTGAGCATTCCTTTTCATCACTGAAGTCATTCTTGTCAAACCTGTGGCGAAAACTTGTGAGTTCATCAGCCAGCTCTTTGTCAGTGTAAAAACCATAAGTATTCACCATGTTTTGGAATTCCCCTTGTTCTGCAACCCCTTCCAAGTTTTCATGCCACACCATGTTGTCTTCAAATTCTTAGAGCTTATTTACTTATAAATCCACGTCTTTAAATGTGTTAAACCAGCTGCATCATGTAAATGTGGTTGTTTCTTGTTTTTTTTTGTAAAATACAAATACATTTTAAATATGTGTGCCTTTACATCTTTCCTACTTATGATCTTCAAAATAATGAGCATCAAAAAAGAAAACATACACATTACAGAGATTATATGTTTTTGACCACTACACCAATAACTGCACGTGGCATTAAAATAAACTACCAAGAGCAGAGTGTATGTACGGCAGTCCATGGCCAAAAGCGGGTATTTGGGCATTTTAACCCTTTTCCAAGACCATGAAGATACACTCTGTAAAACATGCTGTATTTAGCTGACCATCCAGATTCAGAATTGGAATCC